AGGATCAGGCTGTCTGGAGCCAGCTCAGCCACTGTTTACTGACCATCAACCCTCTCAGCCATGATCCCTGTCCTCAGGCCCAGCCAGGGATGGCTCACTAGGAATCAGGCTCTAGGTCAGCCTCGGTGCCATTTTATTATCACTACCTTCATTAGCCTAATCACTGACTGCTTATTAGGCAGTCAGGCACTGAGCTGATGTGCGCTGTGTCTTGTGCCAGCACACCCTGCTTTTGGGTATCCCAGAACTTATGATACCAGCAAAAAGCCAATACCCACTATCTATCCATCCATCCATCCATCCATCTATCATCCATACCATCAGTCAACATCTCTCTTGATGGCCACTTGTACTAGACCTTGTGCTAGATGCTAAGGGTCACAAAATACACAAGATACAGTCCCTGCCTTCCCTGAACATCCTGTCTATGGCAGAGAGAGGCACATACGTAACTGTAACACAGAGTGAGCTGAACCATGATAGAGGTATGTTCAATGGGCAGCAGGAACTCAGAAGAGGGGTGATTAAATCTGCCTGGAGGTGAGAAGAATGCTTCAACCAAGTGGTCACAGCTCTGAGCTAAAGAGAATGAATAGGGGTTTGCCAGGTAGCCAAGGGATGGACATTCCAGATAGAGGGAATGATAGATGCAAAAACATGGAGATGATAGAGAGCAAGGGTGTTCAGCTAACTGCAGATGGTCTGGGGTAACTTGGGCCCAGGGCGGCAAGAGATGGGCCCGGAAAGGTGGACAGGGACCATGTCACAGAACAAGGCAGCGAGAAAGGCAATCCCAGGGAAACTGATGGAGGCAACAAGGCTAAGATTTCATGGGAATCAGTGTGAACAAAGGGGATCATTCATTCCTGGAAGGTCATTCTGGGTGGCTACTAAATAATAACCAGCTAACACTTATTGAGAGTGATGCTCTCAACCATGTCACATGGATTCCATTGTTCAATTCTCACAATAATTGTGAGGAAATTATCACCATTATCTCTATTTTATAAAAGAAGAAACTGAGGCACAGAGAGGCTAAGTGACTTCCTCAAAGCTACACAGTTAATAAGTACAGTCAGGATTTAAACTCAAGTGATCTGAACTTAGGCCAGGTGCTCTTAGGCATCAGGCTGTCTTGGGTCTTTAAAGGCCAGGGATTATCTGGGGCACCTGGCTGGCTCAGTTGGTAGAGCATGCAACTCGTCACCTTGGGTGTGAGCCTCACGTTGGGTGTAGAAATACTTCAAATCTTTTTTTAAAAAGGCTAGGGATGATCAACTGGAGAATAAGTAACAGTACCTAAACCCCTTTCCTTCCCCACCACACTACAAGGTGGAACGAGAGGGAAAATGTAGCCTTGGTTACCCTTGAGTTTAAGTTTTTGATGAGAAATCTGTCGTGTGTGTTCCCCTAGGGAAATGGCCCCACTTTCCCTGGAGACAGTCGCCAGTCACACCCAATGGCACATTCCCATGTTGGCACCAGGAATATCCATTCAATCAATGGGGATTTACTGAGTCTACTACGTATTGAGTTCTGGAAATTTAGGCTCACAATGACAATTACATGGAACAAGTGCATAACTTCTTGGATCAGCTAACAGCTTTTCTAGAGCACTCTTGTTTGCTATAAAGCACTTACTTTTCTATTTTCAGATTTTCAAAGTATGATTTTAATTCAACCTTTTCTGTGTAATATACAGAAAAATACACAAATCACACATGTACAGTTTGATGAGTTATCACAAAATGAACCCCTCTCTGTAAGCACCACCCAGCTCAAGAAACAGCTTTAGCAACACCCCAGAAATTATTCCCATCACTATGCTCCCCTTCCTCCCTAAATGGCATCACTATCCCTAATTTTCAGCATCATAAGTGAGATTGTTTGTCTTAAGCTTTATATAAATGGAATCATATAGCATGTACTCTTTCGCTTGTCTTTGACTTAATATTATGTCTGAGAGTCATTCTGACCCATTCATATTCATTGTTGTTAAGTATCCCATTACACTACAGTACATTTATCCAAGACACTGCTGATGGCCCTTTGGTTCATCAAATATTTCTTTTTTTTATGTTTATTTCTGAGACAGAGAGAGACAGAGTGTGAGTCGGGGAGGGAGGAACAGAAAGAGAGAGAGGGGGACACAGAATCCAAATCAGGCTCCAGGCTTGGAGCCATCAGCACAGAGCCCAACGTAGGGGTCAAACCCACAAACCGTGAGATCATGACCTGAGCCAAAGTCAGACGTTTTTAACTGACTGAGCCACCCAGGCGCCTCTCAAATAATATTTCTGAGACTATGCCTGCACACATGTTTTGGTGCACAGATGTTTTGGTTTGCAGATCTGTTGATACATAACAAAAACTGCAATTACCAAGTCATAGAAAGTGTGCTCAACTTAAGGAGATCTTGCATCTTGCCAAGTTTTCCAAAGTCGCTGTACCAATTTACACTTCCATCAGCAGATTTTAAAATCCAGGTATATATAAGGATCCTGTCCACAATTACCCAGACTCTCATTAAAACTTTTTTCCCCCTAGGGGCGCCTGGGTGGCTTAGTCAGTTAAGCGTCCGACTTTCGCTTAGGTCATGATCTCGCTGTTTGTGGGTTCGAGCACCGCGTCGGGCTCTGTGCTGACTGCCAGCTCAGAGCCTGGAGCCTGTTTCAGTCTGTGACTCCCTCTCTCTCTGACCCTCCCCTGCTCACGCTGTCTCTCTCTCTTCTAAAAATAAATAAAACATTTTAAAAAAATAAAAAAATAAAAAAAAAACCTTTCCCCCCTCGAATAGGTGTATATTGGTGACCAACATAATGTAAACTCTTGCTTTATTGTTTTTTTGAAATGAATTGTTTTCCCTTTTAAGATGTTTTACTAAAATTGAGTAAAACAAAATAGCATTTATAAAATATATGTTAACTGTAGGGGCACCTGGGTGGCTCAGTTGGTTAAGCATTCGACTTCAGCTCAGGTCATGATCTTGTGGATTGTGGATTTGAGCCCCACATCAGGCTCTGTGCTGACAGCTCAGAGCCTGGAGCTTGCTTTGGATTCTGTGTCTCCTTCTCTCTCTGCCCCTTCCCTGCTCACATTCAGATGAGTGCGTGCTCTCTCTCTCTCTCAAAAATAAACAGTAAAAAAAATTTTTTTAAAAATATATGTTAAGTGTAAAGAAAAACAGTAGAATGAATCCTCATCATGTCCCATAAATTTTGAAGTCATGTCCCCACTTAAGGTAATGATTACACTGCATTTGGGGTTAATCATTTCCTTACTTTTCTTTATGATTTTTAAGTCCTATTTATTTATGTGTCACTAAAAAGGATTTTTTAGTTTGTATTTTTGAACTATATATAAAGAATTCTATTTTCTGACTTGATCATTTTCCCTCAACATCATATACCTGCTGAAAAGTACTCGATGCCTGGGGTGTCTGGGTAGCTTAATCAGTCAGGTGTCTGACTCATGACTTTGGCTTAGGTCATGATCTCACAGCCCATGGGTTTGGGCTGTACACTGGCAGTGCAGAGCCTGCTTGGGATTCTCTCTGCCTCTTCCCTGCTCATGTGCTGTGCCTCTCTGTCAAAATAAATAACTTTTTTGAAAATCATACTAAATGCCAACTTTTTGCTCTTACAAACACTGCATCTATGAATACTCGTACATATTGTCACATAAAAAAACAAATCTGGACTCAGTAAGGGGAGACTTCTTTTTAAATGATTATTGCAAGAAAGTAAAGGAACTATTGCAAAGGAGAATAAATCTATTGCAATGGGACCATATGATCTACATGTGCCTTCAAGGTTGAGGCAAGAGGAGCCTATCATTCATAGGGTGGAGTAAACAGGGCTAGAAGGAACTGGGTGTGAGGAAGTGCGGTGACCAGGAGTGGCATGATGAGACAGTAGATCAGAAAATGTTTTACCCTGAAGCCAGCCTATTCTCAGGAGGGGTTGCGCGCTGGCTCAAACTTGGTGGGTGGGTGGGGGAGGCAAAGTTCAGGGACTTGGGGGAAGGAGAGAAGCTTAACCAAAGTTTGGTTAACAAGCATTTTGTTCTGATTGATCAGTGGGGACAAGCAGTTCATCCACGCGTTTACAAGGCAGCGAATTGGAATTTGGAGTCTGTGACTAACCTTGACATACATTCGTAAACAAGGGAGCACCCATGAGTTTTATCTAAGTCATATACGGAAGCTTGTTTCCTTGCAGTAAGCTGTGTTCTAGAACACAAAAAAGGGGAAGATCGGGTTTCTTAACCTTTACTGTTTTCCAGGATCACAGGGATGGGTGAGGCTCAACATTGCCGATGCAGAGACATATGCGAGAATTTCTTTTAAGTATATATAGAGAAGCGGAATATGGGTAGCTTCACTTCTACTGGGTGTCATATTTTCCAAAGTGGTTGTACTAGTTTACCATCCACAGCAGTGGATGGGAGATCCAGTTACTCTACACTACCACCAATACCAGGATTAAAATTTTTTTTGCCAATCTGGTGGATAAGTGGGTCTCCCTTGATTTCCTTGATTATTGAGAATGAGGCATTTTCAATGTTAATTGGACGTGCTTCTTTCTGTGAAATGTCTTCAGTCCACTCTTCAGTTGGATTATCTTTCTTAGAGAGGTGTGGGAGTGCATGAATATGCTTAAGCAGTATAAATGAATGAACCACTAAAAAGTTTCTAAACTGAGAACTAAGATTAAGTGTGGGAAATCCCCAACAACCAAAAAAATCTTAAAAGCTGACCCTCCCTGAGGCTTCTAATTTTATCATCATTAGAGCCTTAGGAAAGAGATCTGTAAACACATTTCCGAAGTGAGTGTTTTCATCATCGCCGGCTTTTCTCTGTGGGTAACCGACCCGAAAACCCGCGCTTGCTCGGCTCCTCAACCACCAGCCGGTGGACCAGTCACCCGTTACGCTTCGTTCACCACGGAAGCCTCGCTCCGTGACAGTCTCGCGAGAGTCGGATCCAGCCGTTCATGTGACAACCCAAGATGGCGGTGCCCAGCGAGGCAGAGGAGGAGGCCACAGTATACTTAATAGTGAGCGGCATTCCCTCTGGTTTGCGCTCTGCCCAGCTCCGGAACTACTTTAGCCAGTTCCGAGAACAGCGCGGTTGCGGTTTCCTGTGTTTCCACTACCGGCATCGGCCTGAGCGGGCTCCTTCCCAGGCTTCTTCCGACTCTGCCCTAACTCCTACGGGCCAGGTTCCTGCCCAGACTTTAGTCGCCGATGCCCGCACTCTTTCCAGCCCGGACTCTGCTCCCGCCCAGACCCGTACCTGCTGCTGCGTCATCTCGGTACGGGGGACAGCTCAGGCCCAGCAGGTTCTTCGCATGTACTCGGGCCGCCGGTGGGTAGATTCTCAGGGGACTTTGTTGCCGGGTCGTTGTTTCATCCGCAGACTTCGACTACCTACTGAGGCATCAGGTACCGGCGGGGAAGATTATAGACCAAGCCTACCAGCCCTGGAACGGAGACACCTTTCGTGAGGGATGATAGGGATAAGTCAGGACTCTGATGATCAGACTCTTAAAGAGTTTAGGTCATTTCCGGACAGAGTTTCAGCCTCAATTCCGTGTTAATTTAACTAGGACTGGGTGTCAGGTTGGAGTGGGGGGAGCGGCGGTACGGAAAGAGGCCTTTTGGATGACCCTTCATTTTCCAATTTATTACATTTCTTCTGATACCTTTTTTTTTTTTCTATCTGAGAGGTTGATATTGCACTGCCACAGAAGGAAAACAAGGGAAATGAGGTTTCTAATCCTCTTCTTGTTTTTTGTTTGTTTGTTTTTTTAATTCTGAGAGAGAGAAGGGGCAGTGTGAGCAGGGGAGGGTCAGAGAGAGAGGGAGACACAGAATCCCAAGCAGGCTCCAGGCTTGAGCTAGCTGTCAGCACAGAGCCGGAAGCGGGGATCGAACCCACGAACCATGAGATCATGACCTGAGCCAAAGTGGGACACTTAACCGACTGAGCCACCCAGGCTCCCCTCTTCTTGTCTTTTATTACATTCTTTGTTGTTTCCTCCCCAGCCCTCTCTTGGTAAGATACAAATGAAAAGACAGTCTCTTTTCTCTGGACAGCTCCCATTTTCTTTCTTTCTTTCTGTTTTTTATATGAAACATGTTGTTTTTAATGTTTTATTTATTTCTGAGAGAGAGAGAGAGAGCATGAGCAGGGGAGGGTCAGAGAGAGACGGAGACACAGAATCTGAAACAGGCTCCAGGCTCTGAGCTGGCAGTCAGCACAGAGCCTGATGCGGGGCTAGAACCCACGAACCATGAGATCATGACCTGAGCCAAAGTCAGACACTTAACCAACTGAACCACCCAGGCGCCCCTTGACACCTCCCATTTTCGAGGGAAGTCACTTTGATGGGGAGCAGAAAACAGTGCAGAGTCCTCTAATTCATTCGTTCAACAAATCTAGCTTATATGCTCCTCCAGTGTGACTCTAGCTGGTGTGCAGAAAACAGACATGTCTGTGCTCAGGATTCAGAGAGGAAAACGGATCTGTAAAAAAGTAACTGGCACAGAGATGGCATTCTTATTGTTAACATTTGCTGTGTACTTACTAGGCACTGCTCTAAGCCTTTCATTTTCTTATTGACTCCTCACAACAATCTATAAGGTAGAGGCTATTGTTACTCTTTTATTTTTTTTTTATTTTAAATTTTTTTTTTAATGTTTTATTTATTTCTAGGAGAGAGAGAGAGACAGCGTGAGCAGGGGAGGGTCAGAGAGAGAGGGAGTCACAGACTGAAACAGGCTCCAGGCTCTGAGCTGGCAGTCAGCACAGAGCCCGAAGCGGGGCTCGAACCCACGAACCGCAAGATCATGACCTAAGCGAAAGTCGGACGCTTAACCGACTAAGCCACCCAGGCGCCCCTATTGTTACTCTTTTATAGGTGAGGATGCTGAGGGATACAGAAGGTGTGTTACTTGCCCAAGGTTACAGAGCTAGGAAGTGGCAGAGTCTCAGTACAAACCCAAGCATATTGCTGCAGGGTCACAGTACAAACCCAGGTATATTGCCCCAGAACCTATGCTCTTTATCAGCAAGTGTTATGAGATGACAGAGGGCGGACAAACCGATCTCCTAGAGGGATCAGGAAATGTGGCTTTTCATCTGAACCTGAAAGATAAACAGGAGTTTGTAGGAAGGAATGGTGTTCAAAGTAAATGTCATTTGCAAAGACCCAGAGATGTGGAAGTCCATGGAACTTTCAGGGCGTGTCAAATTGTTTGGTATGGTTGAAGCACATGGCTTGAGGATGTGCAGGGAGTGGGGGTTGGTGGTGGTTGAGAATGAAAAAGTCAACAGGAACCAGATCTCAAAGAAACTTGTGTGCTCAGCTGAGGTGCTGAGAAATGGCATGAAATCTTTAGGTGGTTCTGGTCAGGGAATGGAGGAGGCTGCTCTGGAAAAGTATGAAAGGGAGGAAGAGCATCAGGCTAAAAGATTTGAACCAATTTCTGGCTCAAGCGTTGCTGGAGGCTTCTAGGTTTCAAGAGCCGTTCTTCCCTCTGCTTTCCAAGGTTTGGGCTCCTTTCCTTTCAAAACACGCAAGGAGCTGCAGAGTCAGAAAGCTCAGAAGGAGGCCTTTACTCTCGCTGACCTGAAGCAACTGCCGGAGCTGAACCCACCAGTGCTGATGCCCAATGGAAATGTGGGGACTCCTCTGCGGGTCTTTTTGGAATTGATCCGGGCCTGCCGCCTACCCCCTCGGATCATCACCCAGCTGCAGCTCCAGTTCCCCAAGACAGGCTCTTCCCGGCGCTATGGCAACGTACCCTTCAAGTATGAGGACTCAGAGACCGTGGAGCAGGAAGACCTTGTGTACACGGAGGAAGGCGAGGAAATACCCCAAGGAAGCTGCCTAGCGGACCTACCAGCCAGCTCCTGTGGAGAGCCAGCGGAGGAAGGGGAAAAGGAGGAGGAGGAAGAGTCGCACTCAGATGACGTGAGTACAGCAAACGACCCTGTCTTTGCTGACGGCTTAGAGAGGTAAGGCCATCCGTAACCACTCTTCAGTTGTATATCACAATAGTTCTAATCCGGGGAGAGGGGCGTTTCCTCAGGAGGGTTCCAAAGAGTTAGAACTCCCTGCAGTTGAATATAAAAGTGCATTTGCACGTGCAAATACACTTTTCTTTGAGGAGAGGGGTCAGAATTCTTATCAGAATATTCTCAAAGGGGTCTTCTTTGCATCCTCTTAGAAGAATTGTAAGGAGGGTCCTTTTCATAGATGAAAACGTACTGACCAAGAGAGAAAATCATCTAAGGAATTAGAGAGATGTGCAGTGTGAACTTGGTCCCCTTTGCTGCTTGTCTAGCCTCTGTGTGCTTTTCATCACGTGGCTGAGAAGTCACATCTGTTTTCTGACCTTGAGTCTGTGGCTTGAACACCATCCTCCACTCTAATTTTATCAATGAGATAGACATTTCTTCTCCCTCTTCAAGTTTGGTTGTTAATCCATCAAATTAGGAAAGGTGTGCTTTGGGGGGAAACTTTTTTGCGTGTGCATACCCTGGGTAAAAAGAATAATTCATTTGTCTTCAAACCACTACCCCAGAGCTGCTAACATCTGTACCACATCCTTAGTGTAGTACTCTCTGGACTTTTCCCAGAGCCTGCTCGACAGCAGTGATTCCTGGGGCTTCTTGGGGTTTAACTAGGACAGGAGCCCCCAAGATTTCAAGCCAGGAGTCATCCTACCATTCCGCAAATCTAGGCAAGCAGCTGTTCACATAGGCTAGCGCAGGACTCCAGAGGCATTCCAAGATCCATTTCCTGCCCTAGAAGAGCCTCCTCTGAGCCCAGGTTTCCTCATCAGTAGAATGGGAATGATGGTACTCAACCTCACAGGGCTGTTGGGGTGATTAAGGGAGCTAAGTTATGAGAAGGGCCTGACACACAGTAGACAATAGGTATTAGTTATTGTCCCTTCTTTCTTTATGACATTATATATAGAGGCCTAAATAGTGTGTGCTGATTACCTCTAAACTGAGGAGTTTGGAGACCAGCGAGAGTGCCGTGGCCAAGTTCACATGGGCTGTAGAGCTTGAGGGATGAGGACTGACCAGGTGAAGAGAAGTGGTGGGAGAGGAGGGCAGATGTTCCCAGCAGGGGGAACAACATGGCCAGCAGCACAGGAGAAGAGTGAGTTGGGCCTGGGGGAAGGTGCCAAGTATGTTGTGACACAGGGGATGGAGAGATATGTTGAGCAAGGCTTCAAGGGCCAAAGACGTGCTGCTTCTAAGAGAAATTTGAAGGAATGGAGCCTCCTGTGCCCTGAGCTGCCCTCCTTGTGGGCATGCAGGTCACTTCTGTCCACCTTCTCCAAGGACGATGACCGTGGCGAGGAGTGGGAGCGTCATGAGGCGCTGCACGAGGATGTGACCAGGCAGGAACGTACCACCGAGCGGCTCTTTGAGGAGGAAATCGAGCTCAAGTGGGAGAAGGGCGGCTCCGGCCTGGTGTTCTACACCGATGCCCAGTTCTGGCAGGAGGAGGAAGGAGGTAATGCTGGCATCCAGGCAAGGGCAGGAGTGATCCCTGCTGCATCCATGCAGGGCTCTCCGCTCCACATTAGGATTCTGCGGGTGCCAAATACAGGGCTGGAGAAGAGGCTTACCTTGACTGTATATGAGAGACCAGTCGTCCTTTTTAGGGGTGGGGGGGTTCGTGGAATGGAGAAAAAAAAATGCCCTCCGCCCCTGCAAATTCTGAAAGACCCTCCAGAGGAGAAATTTTAAAAAATAATCAAAACCCGCAAGTTCTAGGGGCAGCTGAGTGGCTCAGTCAGTTGAACGTGCGATTCTTGATTTTGGCTCAGGTCATGATTTCATGGTTCGTGGGATCGCAGGGTCTCCTGGGGATTTTCTGTCTCTCTCCCTTCTCTCTCTGCCCCACTCGTGTGCACTCACTCTTGCTGTCTCTCAAAAGAAATAAATAAACATAAAAAAAGCCCCAAGTTCTAGAACATGTCTAAGTCTAGATTTAACTCTCAACAGAACTGTGAATCCTTAGTTTACTCTCTGATGCTTTTTATCTGCAGACTTTGATGAACAGACAGCCGATGACTGGGATGTGGACATGAGCGTGTACTACGACAGAGGTACTGGGCCAGCGACTGCAGTGTGGGGAGGTGGGACTGGTGCCCTGGCCTTGCAAGGACACTCTCCTAGGCTTGCTTAGCAGAGGCTGAGACGGGACCAGTTCCCCTGGGGTAGCCCACCGAGTGGACTCCTCTCTCAAGTCATCTCCAGTTGCATGCATTAGATGCTAGTTATAGGCAGAGCCTTTTTCCTTTGTGGAGGAAAGATGTGGGGTGAGCCCTCAGGAGGCTCTGGTTCTGGTGGGCAAGCCCTGGTAGAATGGGAGGGTGAGGTGTTTGGGCTCGGGTTAAGAATTTAGATTCTGGAGGGGCGCCTGGGTGGCTCAGTTGGTTAAGCATCCAGCCTTGGCTCAGGTTGTGATCTTGCAGTTTGTGAGTTCCGAGCCCCACGTGGGGCTCTCTGCTGTCAGCACAGAGCCTCCTTCGGATTCTCTGTCTTCCTTTCTCTGCTCCTCCCCACTGTCTCTCTCTAAAAATAAATAAACAACAAAAAAGATTAAAATAAAATAAAAAAAAGAATTTAGATTCTGGAGTCAGAAATGACCTGGGAGAGGTTGGGGAGACACTGGGGTAGGAGGGAAAGACCAGAGTTCTAATTCTGTTTCTTATCTTATGACTCTATGACTTCTGCACCAGTTTCCTCATCTGTAAGATGGGAAAACCAGGGTTCCCACTTTTGGTGAGCCTCCAGTCTAATGAGAGAGAGAATAGTAAAATAATAACACCATGAAGAGGAATACGTAAATCTTGTGAAGGTGTCCTAGAAACCTGATTCCTCCCCTTTCTGCTGAGAGAGACCCTTCTACAAACTGAGCTCTGCCTCCTCAGATGGTGGAGACAAGGATGCCCGAGACTCTGTCCAAATGCGTCTGGAACGGAGACTCCGTGATGGCCAGGAGGATGGCTCTGTGATCAAATGCCAAGTGGGCACCTTTGAGCGCCACACCAAGGTAAGCACTGTGTCTGGCCCATTGACCCTTCTCTTTTCCCTCTCTATCTCCATTCCTCCTGCCACCACCACCACCTCCCTGCCCTCCCCCCTCCCCAAGAGCCCCATCTCTTGAGTCTTCTCCCTTCCCTCCACAGGGCATTGGACGAAAGGTGATGGAGCAGCAGGGCTGGACTGAGGGCAAGGGTCTGGGCAGCCAGTGTTCAGGGGTGCCTGAGGCCCTGGATAGTGATGGCCAGCACCCTAGATGCAAGCATGGATTAGGGTGAGTATGGCCAAGGGGCTTTCCTGGGGGCCCAAGCTAGGCTTTCATCTGTACCCTGGTTTCCCCCTTCCCTCTGGTTTTGGAATGGGTCTTGCAGACTCCTAGAGGATGAGCTTCAAAGCAGAATTAGAAGGAAAAGATAGGTCTGGCACTATTTTTTTTTTTTAGATCAAGCTCTAAGGCTTGACAGGATCAGTGATCTCCTGCGGGAGTCATACCCCCTGGTCTGAGGAATTTGGACTTGATTGCCATTAGGGAGTCCCTGTAAGTCACAGAATGGTGACAGTTTGTTCTAAACTCTGTGTATTATTTAAGATGAAGGCAATGTGTGAGACCTCTGGTTGCTGGCCTGTCAATGGATAGATAAGGGGACTGAGGAGCAAAGATCCAAATTTAAAGGCTCAGTCTTTGGGACAAACCAGACAAACCAGAAGTAGTAGCTACTTCTCTGTCTTTTCCCAACCCTTTATTGGAGTTTGAGAGCAGCCCTCTCAGTCTGAGCCCTTTTTCTCTCCATGCAGGTACCATGGAGAGAAGCTACAGCCATTCGGGCAACTGAAGAGACCCCGTGGAACTGGCTTGGGGCTCATCTCCACCGTCTATGATGAGCCCCTACCCCAAGACCAGGGGGAGTCGCTGCTGCGACGCCAGCCACCCACCAGCATGAAGTTTCGGGCAGATGTGGCATTTGTGAGGAGTTCCAGCTGTGCCTTGGACAACCCCTCAGAGCACGAATGACAGATTCGGGCCTTCCTTAGTATCACTCGTAAGGGCACAAATGGCAGCCCTCTGCCTTGGCCTTAAGTCCCGCCACGGCGGAAGGAACTCTGGGACCAGCAATCTGCGAGGCTTGTTCAGGGGGCTCTGTTCTCAACTTGCCTTCTGGCTCTTCTACCTCAAGGACATTTTTACCAAACGCCCCCTATCCTCTTTTAATTAATACAGCCAAATGACCTCTCAGTGGTCTCCTATCCAAGTCCCTGTTTGGGCTTGCCCATGCCGCCTCCCCCAGTACCTGAACAGCTGGATTGACTGAAGTTGTCACCACAACCTTCGTTGGGGGGTTCGCTGCAAAGGTCAGAAAGAGGGGGAAATGGACCTGGAAGAGGAGAGGAGGGCTCCTGGTGCTTGCTGGGAAGGGATGATATGGGGGCAAGCCGTCCATCGCCTCCACCCTTGACTGGTTAGGAGCGGACAAGGGAAAGGTCGCGAGGTGGTGGCCCGGGTCTGCGACCTAACGGGAGAATAAAGAAGTTGACTACCCGATTTCTCTTTATCTTCTAATTTGGGCCGAGGTAAAGTCGGGAAAGCCTGGGCTACAGTTACCCCCGCCCAAACCGGCTGGAGGAGCCCAAGCCCCGAGGAGAAACGCTCTGCGTCGCCACGCCCCTAGGCGTCAAGCCGCGCCGTCATCTTGGGGGCGGGACTTCCTCTTGGAGCTCCCGCCGTTTCCGACGTCGTCCGGAAGTCGGGCTCTGGTCGTCTCGCAGTGCGCGGGTATCAGCGGTTACTCCTGCGGTGACCCTGGGGTCTAAGTGCAAGTCGGAGATCCCGTCCCCTTCGGCTTGTGTGTCTGCAGAGCTCACCTGTTCCGCGCGGGGCTGCGTACGGCCTATGGCGGGGGCCGCCCCGACCACGGCCTTTGGGCAGGCGGTGATCGGCCCGCCTGGCTCAGGGAAGACCACGTACTGCCTGGGCATGAGTGAGTTCCTGCGCGCGCTGGGCCGGCGCGTGGCGGTGGTGAACCTGGACCCGGCCAACGAGGGGCTGCCGTACGAGTGCGCTGTGGACGTGGGAGAGCTGGTGGGGCTGGGCGACGTGATGGACGCGCTGCGGCTGGGGCCCAACGGCGGCCTGCTCTACTGCATGGAGTACCTGGAGGCCAACCTGGACTGGCTGCGGGCCAAGCTAGATCCCCTCCGTGGCCACTACTTCCTCTTCGACTGCCCAGGCCAGGTGGAGCTCTGCACGCACCACGGCGCCCTGCGTAACATCTTCTCACAGATGGCGCAGTGGGACCTCAGGGTGCGTCTTGGGGTCGAACAGGCTCCTTTTGCAGGTGGAGGAACTGAGACAGGGAGGACAGATACCACGCCCCCATGTCACACAGCGAGGTAGGGGCCGAGTCGCTTTGGAGTAAAACTGGTGTGAGTTCGAATTCAGGCTCTGCCACTGACTCGCTGTGTGGTCCTGGGTAAGTCGGTTTCTCTCTCGGAACCCCAGTTTTCTCATCTGCAGAATGGATGTACTAGCACCCAATTTGGGATTGTTAGAAGTATGGAAAGGGCCATGTGGAAAGTGGCATGGTGATTGTTCTTATGACTTGGTGGGCAAAAGTAAATGAGATCGAGTCAGATGCGATCAGAATGGAGATCGCTGCCCACTGGGAGGCTTGGTGCAAGGCACCTTGTAAGGAATAATGCCCCATATCTCCTGGCAGAAGGAAATGAGTGTAGCTATTAGAATGGAGCAGAAGCAGGAAGAAACGAATGGGGAAGCCTTGTACTCTGTCCTCAGAAGTCCTCAGTCTCCTGAGAAAGACATAAGCCCTGATGTTTCCTGCCTCCGCAGACCACTCACCCTGTCTCTTCCTCCCCTTCCAGCTGACTGCTGTCCACCTGGTGGATTCTCATTACTGCACAGACCCGGCCAAGTTCATTTCAGTACTGTGTACCTCTCTGGCCACGATGCTGCATGTGGAGCTGCCTCATGTCAACCTGCTCTCCAAGATGGACCTCATTGAGCACTATGGGAAGCTGGGTGAGAGCTTCTGTTCTGGGCAAGCAGGGAGTAGGAAAGGAAACCTCTCAGCTCAAGGGAGCTGCCTCCAGGTACCATGCATGGCATGGTGATCATAGCCACAGGCAGGTCCTGACTCCTGCCTGTTTATTTTGTGCACACTCTGCATGCTAGATATTGTTCAGAATTTGGGGGACAAGAGAGCTATAGAGGGTGATATGTACTGCAAAGGAATTCAAGCGATTGGTTGGGAGTGAGTTGAACGAGCGCTCTTTGAGATGAGATCTGAATGGTGAGAAGGAGCCAGCCAAGGCTGAACTGTTCTAGGCAGAGGGACCAATAGGAGGAAAGGCCCTTCGGGAAAGAGTTTTTGTGTTTAAGGAAAAAGTGGGGGGAGGGGAGGAAGCCCAGAGTAGCTGAGGTAGCAGTCAGGGAAGGGTGGTAGGAAATGAGGTCAGCTTGGTGGGCCGGGGCTAGAACCTGTACTATTGACACTCTGGGGAAAGCCAGTGATGAATATTAAGCAAGGAAATAGCATGAATTAAGAACATCATTGTGGCTGTTTGGTGGAGAATGAATTAGAGTGAGCAAGAATACAAACAGAGATCTTTAAGGAGGTTTTTTGCAGCAGCCTAAGCAGTGGTAGTGGGAATGGAGAGAAATAAATCGATCCAGGACTTGCTCAAGAAATAGGGTTTGTTGGTGGATTGGATGTGAAGACTGAGGAATTAAGGATGACTTGAGGGTGCCTTGGTAGCTCAGTCGGTTAAGTGTCTGACTCTTGATTTTGGCTCAGCTCATGTTCCCGGGGTCATGGAATGGAGCCCTTCGTCAGGCTCTGCCCTGACCATGGTGCCTGCTTGGGATTCTCTCTCTTTCCCGCTGCCCCTCTCCCCTACTCACATATGCTCTCTTTTTCTGTCTAAAAAATAAATAAATGAAAATGAAAATCCTTTTTAAAAAGGATAACTGAGGTTTCTGACTGAGCCAGTGGACACATAGAGGTGCCTTAGTCAGGGTGGGAAAGATTGAGGTTCTCGAGAAGCAGGCTGGCACAAGGCAGGGAAGTTGCCTAGGGGCCTCATGGCCAGCATTTTTTTCCTGCAAAATTAGTGCTCTCCTGAGCTGGGGGCATCAGCCCCCTAAATAGCACCTCCAGCCACAAAGGAACCTAGAGAAGAAAAGCTGAAATGACCAGCAGTGAATAGGAAGAAAGGTTGTTGGGGTCACGATGTGTCAGGGCATTGTCCAGGGACGGGGAGGCCTGCTGGCTGCCAGTCAGGACGTGGAAAGATGTCAGCACCTTGAAGCGGCCACCTCAGCCCAGAGTCCTGGTCCATCTTTCAGTAAGCCCAGAAGCTCTGATCTGGCAAAGCTCAGATTTGCAGTCTTCCCACGCCCCTCTCCTCATCCTTCGTGGCCTGCAGCCCAGGTACCCACTTGGTGGTCCTTGACCTTTCTAGCTCTGACTCTTGGCAGTCATCCTTACAGGAGACTGTCGTGCAAACCAGATGAGGCCATTGAGGCCCAGAGAAATTACATGAATAGCCCAAGGTCAATCACACAGCTAAGATGTTAAACTGAGATGAAATCTAAACCCATTGCACCTGGCTCCAACTGCTTAATTCCTGGGGAGAAATGTACCTGTCAGGCAGTCCAAGGAGTTTATTGGAATGTCTGGGACCATATTCCTTGCAGGCAGGGGGTGTCCATTTCTGATTGGAACACAGGAGCCAGAATGCAGGGAGTGAGTCTGCCGTCCCAACAGCATGATTGCCTTAGCTCACTGTGGGACAGACCAGTCGAATAGCCCAGCTGATTGAGGTTTTCTTGGCAGAAATGGACAGTGCAGGGAAGCCCAGTTTCCTTTTCTTAGGGGAAGTTTGTATTCATAGAACTCTGAGTCATCTAGTCTGATATCCTCATTTTCCATTAAGAAGGAACTGGCCCAGAAGGGAAAGTGATTTATCCAAGAGCCACCCTGCTAGAGTCATAGCACATGTGCCAGGTCCAGGGGTTACTACCGACTGTGAGCTCCATGAGGCAGGGACCAAGGGCTACTCTTGGCACACATTTGATACGTTATTTGTTACCATTGAGCAAGTGCTTCTCTATACCAGACGTTGGGATTTATAGCATTTAATCCTCACGGCAGTTCCATATACCTACTGTGTGGCAGAGCCAGTGGGCAAAACCAAGTATTTTTTTCCTAAGTAACTTCATTTCACTGCCTTGACAAATATTTGTTGAATGAATGAATGAGTGAAGACAAAAGGAAGAAGGGAAGGAAATATGGTTCCTGTCCTTGGGTCTTTCAGCCTGATGTCAGTTGCTCCTGAACATCAGTTTCTCTCCTTAGCCTTCAACCTGGACTACTACACAGAAGTCCTGGACCTCTCCTACCTACTCGACCACCTGGCTTCCGACCCCTTCTTCCGCCACTACCGTCAGCTCAATGAGAAACTGGTACAGCTCATTGAAGACTATAGCCTGGTCTCCTTCATCCCTCTCAACATCCAGGTACGAGGGACTAAGAGGTCTCTTCCCTTGCCTCTCGGCTCTGACTGTGCCTCGGACTTCATCAAGCTAAGGGTACAGGAGGCTTTGAGGGCCCAAACAGTGGTCTTTGTCCTGGGTCCAACTATCATCCAGTTCCCCTTGGTTTCCTTTTCTTAGAGGAAGTGGCTCCCATGGGCAGAATTCCAATAAAGAGAATAGACCAAACATTGGCGCTGTCTACTCTGTATTGCTGGGTTCTCTCTACACATGTCCCCTCACCCGTGTGAACATGGGTGATTTCAGAAAGTGGCTAGCAAGGGACTTGACCAAAGCCAAAGATGGGTCTCTCAACCTCCTTCGGGAGGGGTACCCACCTTTTGACTTTGCAAAGTAGTCCCCAACCCCAGTGCATGGACTTGGGCAAACTTATCTGTTTCCTGTGTAATACCATGCTTTTCTTCTCTGAAATGAGAAGATGAACTCTACAATATTAATCACAACAACTACCACTTATTGAAGGCTTTCTGTGCTAGGCATTCGGCTAAGGACTTGTACATGCAGTATTTTGGTCTTTCCTTCCTATCATGTGATGTATGGATGTATTACTTTTATGTGAATGAGCAAACAGATTGTATGCATATTTATTGGGTGCCTAAGTTAGCTAAGTACAATGCTCGGCACTGAGGATACCTCCCCAGATAAGTCCCTGACCTCATTGGGCACACAGTCAAATAGAGGAGGCAGATGAGTTAATAACTTGTCAATAGTAAGATGGTGGGATTAGAGCTATACTAGGATAGGCCCAGGGGACTATGGGTGTGCATAAGAGGAGCTTATCTGTTCTGATTTGGGTGGGTTGTGGTCAGGAAAGATGGGATGTAGCCAGGCCTCTGGGGACGTGGGGAACTACTCTAGGCACAGAAGCCACACGAGGCAAGGTTGAAAGGGATGTTTGGAGGCTGCAGGCACTTTGACGCGTCCTCAGTTCCACATACCTCTGTTTCACTCACAAGGCTGTTTCTTCCCTCCCTGTCCAGGACAAGGAGAGTGTCCAGCGGGTCCTACAGGCTGTGGATAAAGCCAATGGCTATTGCTTCGGGGTCCAAGAGCAGCGAAGCCTGGAGGCCATGATGTCCGCTGCAGTGGGAGCTGACTTCCATTTCTCCTCGTATCCTTGCTCTCTAGCCTCTTGGTCACAGCCACGGGGGAGACCTGGGCTCCGGAGTGACCACGTCCCTTGTAGAGGACTGATTTCATGCTGACCAGTGGGGCTCCCTGGTGACTATCTCTCAGGTGCAAAGACTGGTCCCTTAGAAGGCTCGGTGTCGGTTGTACCTGAGGGCGAGGGAGGATACTGATCAGAAGGAGCAGCAAATACAGATGCGAGGAAATGAAAGGGCATTGGTCATTTGGGAGAGAGAGATGCAAGGGGTTCGGTTTGTTTCTTGTCCTGACCATGAAAGGGAAAGGGGGAAGTAGGGGTGCAGGGGCAGGAGGCAGGGCTGACAGCGGGGGGGCTCGCATGCCCTGCTAAGGAGCGTGGACTTCAGCTTGTGGGTGGGCAGTGGGAACCAGCGCAGCACGGCTGTGCAGGGCGTGACATGATCACCTACACTTTTTTTATTTAATTTTTTTTTTAACGTATGTTTATTTTTGAGAGAAAGACAGAGTGTGAGCAGGAGAGGGGAGGAGAAAGAGGGAGACACAGAATCCGAAGCAGGCTCCAGGCTCAGAGCCTGATGCGGGGCTTGAACTCATGAACAGTGAGATCACGACCTGAGCTGAAGTCGGACGTTTAACCAACTGAGCGGCCCTGCCACCCCCAGGTGTATATTTTTTTAAAGGCCCTCCGAATGCAGAATTGCGTTTAGGGATATGAGTGGAGGCGCAAGAGTGTTTACAATCTGTAGATGAGAAGAGATGAAATGTTAGTGGTGAGAATGGAAAGAAGGGTATGGATTGGATAAAAGAAGATGGACTTCCAGAGTCAGTGACTGGGTGGTTATGGGAATAGATGGGGGTACAGCAGAAGTTAGACTCACAGGCTTCTGGCTCATACCCAGGTATGGGCCGTTCTGTTAGTCACTGACGCAGGAAGAGGAAGGGAAGAGGGCAAGTTTCTCACACGTGTGGCAGGGATGGGCGCTGGCAGATGTGCCGTGTTTGAGGGGACCGTGGGACAGCCAACGCTGTCTGGGAGGCAGCTAGACCTCCGGAGCTGGAGCTGGATTAGTGACCAATGGGATGGAGCTAAGGTCATGTGTTGGTGTCTCCTCGGGTCACCGAGGCCGCGGGTGAAGCAGGATGGAAATGCAGGCCTGTTAGGGTAGTTTCAGAGGTTTGACCCTGACACAGCATGCCAGAGACGACGGGGGCTCCAGAGTCCTTGGTGTGGAGGAAGATAATTCCAGCCGGTACCTTCTGCTCTGTGTCCGGCCCTTTCACAAGTGGGAAGCAGAGCTCACAGGGAACCAGACAAGTTATAAATGGTGGTGGTAGAGTGCACAGTGCTCGATGAAGGGGTTGAGATGCTGCCTCACACTTGCGGTTAATGTCGGCAAGTTCAACTGCATGTGCTCAGCAAAAACGTGAAGGGGCAGTTTCGGTAGTGCTGAATTTTCTTTGTATGCCGTGCATTGCTTGATGCATTCATACATGTTGTGCAAGATTCTGTTTATAAAACGGTATACTTTTTGATAGATGATTTAAGGAATTTTCAAGGGTACTTTTTTTTTTTAAATTTATTTCTGAGAGAGAGAGAGGCGGCGTGAGCAGGGGAGGGTCAGAGAGAGAGGGAGACACAGGATCCGAAACAGGCTTCAGGCTCTGAGCTGTCTGTCAGCACAGAGCCTGATGCGGGGCTCGAACCCACGAACTGTGAGATCTGACCTGAGCTGAAGTCGGATGCTTAACCGACTGAGCCACCCAGGCGCCCTTTTCAAGGGTACTTTTAACCATATGCATTTGTGCTGATTTTAGGTTTTTTGTTTTTTATTAAAAAAAATTTTTTTAAGTTTATTTATTTTGAGAGAGAGAGTGGGGGGAGTGGCAGAGAGAGAGGAGAGAGAATCCCAAGCAGGCTCTGAGCTCGGCTCGATCACATGAACCATGAGATATGACCTGAGCTGAAATCGAGAGTTGGGACATTTAACTGACACTTAAACACCCAGGTTCCCCTATTTGTGCTGATTTTAGATTCTGCCCCCTACCCTAATCCTCTTAAGGTTCAACTTCATTCCATGTCTAAGATCATTAAGGATTGGGGCGCCTGGGTGGCTCAGTCAGTTGAGCGTCTGACTCTTGGTTTCAGCTCAGGTCACGGTCTCCCGATTCACGGGATCGAGTCCCATGTCAGGCTCTGTGCTGCCAGCACAAAGCCTGCTTAGGATTCTCTCACTCCCTCTCTCTCTGTCCCTCCCCCGAGCACACTCAGAGTGCACTCAAAATAAATAAACATTTTTAGAGAAAGATCATTAAGGATTGGTATAAAGAAGGGAAAAATCAGCTCTGCCGAGGAGTGGGTGGGTCCAGGAAGCTTCACGGAGGTGGTGACACTGGAGTTGTGTTCTCTTAAAGTGAGGGTGAGCTCAGCTGACTGATGAAGAGGGAAAGGGAATTCCAGGCCAAGACCGTAGTATGTACAAAGGCATGGCAGTTCGAGGTTGAGGCACGTGTGGCAAGTTACAGGTGGAATAGCACGACTCGTGGGCAGGGCAGGGCTTTGGCTGAAGACAGTGATCGGGCCAGACAGACAGTCACAGACAATGCAGGGCCTCACGTGTCCTCAGGAATGTGGACTCCAGGTGGAGACAAGGCAAGTTTGAGGTTATTTCACGTCAAGCGAGGTGGACCTCACTCCTCCTGAGTGAATCTCAGGGCCGACTTGCACTGGAACAAGGCATTATTTCTTGGGGAAAAGAGAGGAGGACCGGGGCACAGGTCCAGAGTCCTTTGAGTAGGGGTGAGATGGATTTTGGTGGCTGGATCCATAAGAGATGGGAAAGAGGGGCGCCTGGGTGGCTTAGTCGGTTAAGCGTCCGACTTTCGCTTAGGTCATGATCTCGCGGTTCGTGGGTTCGAGCCCCGCGTCGGGCTCTGTGCTGACTACCAGCTCAGAGCCTGGAGCCTGTTTCGGTCTGTGACTCCCTCTCTCTCTGAGCCTCCCCTGCTCACGCTGTCTCTCCTCTCTCTCTCTCCTAGAAATAAATAAAAATATTAAAAAATAAAAATAAAAAAAATAAATTCTAAAAAAAAAAAGATGGGAAAGAAAGTCTGTACCCTGAACATCATTTAGTGGACTTCATATCTGCTGGCAGAATCTCATTTAATCTTCCTTTAGTCCCGTCTTTTTTTTTTTTTCTTAAGATCATTTATTTTGAGAGAGAGAGAGAGAGAGAGAGAGAGAGTGTGTGTGTGTGTGTGTGTGTGTGTGTGTGTCCTTCCCAAGTATCTACACTGTCAGCGCAGAGCCTGATGCAGGCTCGAACCCAGGAACTGTGAGATCAGGACCTGAGCTGAAATCCAGAGTCGGATGCTTCACTAACTGAGTCACCCAGGCGCCCTTCAGTCCCTTCTGATAGATGAGGCAGCTGGGGCTGGGAGGTCCTTCTCCCAGGATGTGCTGGAAGGACAGTTCCAACCTCAGTCTCCCTGGTTGTAGAACCTCAGTTTCTGACACTGGAGTCACCTAGTAGAAGAGCTACAGTGGCCGTCCTTCCGTGTTCAACGGCCACGTCCTCAGACCCACACCCAGACGTCGGGCTAGCCTCGCGGCTCTCCCTCAGCCGCAGCACAGCCTTTTCCTCCACGAGTCCGATTAGCATCCTTCCTGCTCCCGCAGAAATTAGTTGTTTGAGTCTCGAGTTCCCTCCCATGGCGGAAGAGAAGTCGGAAACACTTAGTGAGCACCTGCTGTGTACTAGGTGCTGTACTAGGCACTTCGTATTGTCTCACTTGATCCTCACAATGACTCTGTTCTACGGACGAGAAAAAAGGATGTGGCAGAAGCAGGATTCAACCCCCCGGCAGCCTAGCTGTGAGCATGTGACCTAACACAGCTGCAGGGTTAGTCCGTCTGGGCCCTTGACCCTCAGCAGTGTGGGGAAGAGACAAATACGGGAGCATTTGGGTCTGGATTTCTTGCTTGTTTAATGTTTTTTTTTGGTTTTTTTTAATGTTTATTCATTTTTGAGAGACAGAATACAAACTGAGGAGGGGCAGAGAGAGTGAAAGAGAGAGAGAGAGAGAGAGAGAGCGACTCTGAAGCAGGCTCCAGGCTCCGAGCTGTCAGCACAGAGCCCCACACAGGGCTCAAACCCACAAAAGGTGAGATCCTGACCTGAGCCAAAGTCACACCCAACCGACTGAGCCACCCAGGCACCCCAGTGTTTGTTTATTTTTGAGAGAGAGAAATCATGTGCGGGGGTAGGGGGGCAGAGAGAAGGGGACAGAGGCCTCTTTGATGACAATACAGAGCCTGACACGGGACTTGAACCCTCAAACTGTGAGATCATCACCTGAGCCAAAGTCAGACGCTCCGCCGACTGAGCCAGCCAGGTGCCAGGGTCTGGATGTTTTGAGGGGCCTCTCAGACCCAGCTGGGCCGTGTTGCCTGGAGCTGTAATGGTGGGAAAGGGGGATGGATGGGAGCAGTCCGCCGGACAGAGTTCTAGCGCTGGCATCAGCACAGGTCAGCTCCTGCCCAGCCCAGTTCCCCACCCTTGCCCACGCTACCAGCCTTGACACCTCCCCTCAGCACCCTGGGCATCCAGGAGAGGTACCTGGCACCCTCCGACCAGTCAGTGGAGCAGGAAGCCATGCGGCTGTAGCAGCGAGCTAGGCTCTGCAGAGCAAGAAGCAGAACCCAGCACTGGAGAAAGAGGCAGCCGCCCACGGCAGCGGACAGCCCGGCCGACTCTGATCGAGAGCGATCTTCCAACCAGGCAGAGCGCTCACCGCACCGTCGGTGGTTGCCGTTGCCAGGAACTCAGCGCCAGCCCCGCTATGATGGGATATGGTACAGATACGAGAGTTTACTTTCTACTCTTTGTGACTTCCAAGCTTTCCTCAACCATCCAGGCCCAGAGAGTTGAGCCAGAAGAACAAGGTTATGGGACCTTCTTTTAGAAGAGGCCTCTTTCTTTATACAGGACGTCGTTTCCACCAAAGCACAGGACTGACAGTCTCCAGTCGGGCGATTTTGTAAATTCGCAGTTTTAGCAGGGAGCCTGGAGCCTGAGCTCCCACAGGGGACGCTCCCTAGCAGATCGGAGTGTTTCGTGTTCGTGGTATTTATTTTATGATTTTAGTCCTTTTTGGCAAGGGTTAGCGAGTTTTCCATTTATACCAGTTATTAAAAGTTTACTTTGACATTGCGAAACGTGAGTTGTTTAAAGAAAAATAGTAAGTACACAACACAACCTCGTCAGGAGTGTGACCGGAGGTTGGAAGTGATGGAGTTGCTCCATTGGCTCTTCCTGCAACTGGTTGCATGTAATTCATGTTTTCAACCAATAGGTGGCAGTCCAGGCTTATTTTTTTTTTTTTTTTTGCAGTCACAGCCTGGAGGCAGCAGGGGATGGATGGCAGTTGTGCCAGAAGTCCTCTTTGCAGACACTCAGTCCTGTTAACATGAGAGAAGGGCTTGGCATTTCACAAGGTGCTTCCACACACCTGGTTCTCAAGGGGGTCTCACAGCAGCGCCCGGAGATCTGGACAAGACAGAGTATTAGGAAGCCCATTTTATGATGAGGAAACAGAGGAGTTTGAACTTTGGTCAGTCTGGCTGTCTTGTCCGCTTTGCTGACTATTCTCTTTTTTTTTAGGTTTATTTGTTTACTTTGAAAGAGAAATAGAGTGAGCTGGGGAGGGCCAGAGAGAGAGAGAGAGAGAGAGAGAGAGAGCGAATCCCAAGCAGGTTCCACGCTGCCAGCACAGAGGCCGCTGTGCGGCTCAGACTCCTGAACCGGGAGGAGCTCATGACCTGAGCTGAAATCTAGAGTCAGATACTTGACCTACCTAGCCACCCAGGCGCTCCTTTGCTGACTTCTTCACTGTGAATTCTTTTTTTTTTTTTTTTTTTTTTTTTTTTTTTTTTTTTTTTTTTTTAAGTTTATTGTCAAGTTGGTTTCCATATAACACCCAGTGCGCATCCCCACAAGTGCCCTCCTCCATGCCCATCTCCTCCTTCCCCTCCCCCCACACCCATCAGTCCTCAGTTTGTTCTCAGAATTCAAGAGTCTCTCATGGTTTGCCTCCCTCCCTCTCCCCCACTATTTCCCCCCTTCTTCTCCCTCACGGTCCTCCGTTAAGTTCCTCCGAATTCATTGTGAATTCTTAATGGAGAAAAGCCATGGCGCTTCTCTCACAGGATCTGTGGCCAATCAGGGGGATATATTTAAACACCTTGTAGACTATTATTGAGTCATAAATCAAGGGGAAGACAAGTCACTGGTGGTTTGGACAGTCGGAGAATTCAGCTTAGGAGAATCTGTTCCGAAGTGGCATTGAGATGGGGGTGATGGAGCTTTACTTCCCAACTTGAGGAGTCAGAGCAGAAGGCAGAAGAGTGAGGGGCTGTGAGGAGGCTTCTCTAGCTGGAAGAGTACGAAAGCAGCCAACCTCTGCTCCCACGCCTGGCCACATAGGGGATAATTACTAGGTGCTGCGTCCCCAGCCTCTTTCATCTGAGAAGTTCAAAGCACCGCACCCCTATTAACACCCTACAGTAGGTGGGGAGTATCAACAGCAAGCCAGGGAAACTGAGGCCAGGAGGCCCAGCCTAGGGATGGCTGTGAGTCACCTGTGGGGCCTGGAATCCAGGAATCTTGACGCCCAGGTCACTGGACAAATCGCTCATCAGATAGGGTGTGAGGGTGGATGCTGGATTTGAACATAGGACTGGTAGCTGTGGTCAGGGGCTCTGATGCTTGCCCCATCACCCTGGCTCTTGGCCAAAGCAAACCAGCTGCAAGGAAGGTGTCATTTGAACTTTATGGCCTCACATCCAAGCACTCTGAGCATTTATTCTCTGCAGTCATGGAGTGGAGAAAGATGGAAGTCATCCAAAACGGAATTTTCAGGTCTTGTTGTGACAGCAAGGAGGTGTTTTCCCCTCCAGGAAAGGTACCTCTGTTCACCTTCTGATGGCAAAATGGTTTTCTGTTTCCCTGCCGTGGTGGGAGGGGTTGGAAAATGAAAAGTCAAGTCATCCATAATCCCATAACATAAATAATAAAACATTTGTAATCTGTAATTAATTTTATATCCAAACGTTTAAATATATTTTGTGTTTCTCGGTCTTTTCTGTACGTGGAGAGGGATAGCTAGAGCATTTGTATGAGCGGAATATATTATACTTGCTTTGTAACCTGCGTTTTTTTAGTCAACACTTCTTTCATCCAGTTAAAATACAAAGACCTTTTTAATATCTACATAATAGTCTACGGTAAGGCTATCGCATTATTTACCTGTCCAGACTCCCATGGTGAGCCTAAGTCATTACTGATTGTTTGCTTTCGTAAATAGTGCCGTGATTATATGTTCGTACTCAAATCTTTGTCCGAGCCTCTGATTTTTCACTTCTGATGAACTCCTAGAAATGAAACAGCTGATATTTCCCAGGTTCTGGATTCATATTGCCAAAATGCCTTCCAGGAAAGTGGCACTTAGCGTCTCACAGACACTGCCTGAAAGTGCTCTTCTCACTTCCAGACCTCACTTGGCAATCTTGAACACCTTCTGGAGGGAGGAGCCCATCTCCGAGCGCCTTCGAAGGGACCCTCCTGGTCATCTCTGCTAATCATGGACATTAGTATATATGCATTTCCTGGCTTTGAATTGGGGACTCCCCCCAAAATTGGAAGATACCGTTTGGAACTCAGCAGAGGCCACAGCTCATTGGAAAGGCTTCCAGCCCAGACAAAGAGGCTTAGGAGTGAGCGTGACGCCCTAAAACCCAGAGAGCTGAAGCACAGCCAGTCTGCTCTCAGCTGTTTCTGAATTAGCAGAATGCTCACTCACAGTTGGCGGAGAATAAAGCCTGATCCCATTAGAGTCTGTGGGAAGTTCTGTCTTAAGGATTTTCTCTCCTTTCCCAGGGCTCCTGGGGGGGTGGGGGGGTGGCAGACCCCTCCCAGCACTGCAAAAGTCCACCTGGTTTTGAAAGCAATAGGGGTGCCCAACTACCCCAGAATCCTGGAGGGAAATTCTCTAGCAAGCTGTGTACACCTTCCCCGCCCCCCACCTCCTCTCCCTTCTCTTTTTTTTTTTAAATTTTTTAATGTTTTATTTATTTCTAGGAGAGAGAGAGAGACAGCGTGAGCAGGGGAGGGTCAGAGAGAGAGGGAGTCACAGACTGAAACAGGCTCCAGGCTCTGAGCTGGCAGTCAGCACAGAGCCCGACGCGGGGCTCGAACCCACGAACCGCGAGATCATGACCTAAGCGAAAGTCGGACGCTTAACCGACTAAGCCACCCAGGCACCCCATCCTTTCCCTTCTCCCTTCTCGGTCCCTGGCTGTTAAGCCCTCACCTAGCCTTTAGAAGGTAGAGTCCCTGGTTAGTGCACACTTCGATGACATCAGGCCTGCTGAGAGTAGGGGAAAGCCATATACCTCATTTCCAACCCATTGTGTCAACTCATTGTGTCCATTTCCAGCCAAGGAGCCAACTTCAGACAGCCCCAGACGTCCAGGTGGCCTGAGACTGAGGAGCTATGAGGGGATGGGCTGCAGATTTGGAGCCCAAATGAGGTGAGAAAATGTGAATATCGGTAAAAATGCTCCGGACTAGACTACATCGCGAAGTTTTAATTTTTTCCCCCCATCCAAAACCTTGAAGCAGTTGAAAATGAGAGGCTCCTTCAAAGCCATCCCAAATAAATGAATCGACAGCCTTCTGCAAGAATCTGAAATCAGGTGGGGCGCCTGGGTAGCTCAGTCGGTTAAGCATCCGGCTCAGGTCATGATCTCACGTTTCGTGAGTTTCAGCCCCACATCGGGCTCTGTGCTGACAGCTAGCTCAGAGCCTGGATCTTGTTTCGGATTCTGTACCTCCCTTTCTTCTGATCCTTCCCTGCTCACGTTGTCTCTCTCTCTCAGAAATAAATAAATAAAACATTAAAAAAAAAAAGAATCTGAAATCAGGTTTTTTCCAAAATTCACCAGACATTTAGACATTGGAGGGTGTGTGTATGCACGCCCACACGTGTGTGAATATTTGCTTGCAAATCCAACATCAAGAAACGTTCCCTGGTGTTCCCCTTCTCACTGGATTACCACCTCTCCCTGGACAGGAGTCCTGAAGCCTTCACACTCCTCACGGACTGATAATAACAGCAAAGGAGAAATCCTGGAACATGGGTAAGATTTCTCCCAACTCTTGAGTCATACCAGTGGACACTAGCCTATTCTGACCTAAACATCAGGCCACTCTACAGTCAGACAAGGACATTTCAAGTTCACTTTATTGGGGGGGGGGGGAAGGGGGAGAATATGTCTTCCTTCTCTTCTAACAAACACTTCTTGAATACCATAATCTGATGTATTAAATATTGTCCTTAGACACAGACTGAAGACTGCATGCTTTTCAGAGTCTGGGATTTCCTCTTTTATCTCTAGACAAATAATGAGTTAAATTTCCCAGAGAGCAGGAAGAAGAAGACTGGGTGGAGATGAGAGATGAATCAGCCTCTGACACCCCCAGGGGGACATACCTGTCTGCTACCCCCACAGACATTCCTGGCTCCTGACTCAGTGGGTAGGTGGGGCGGGTTCCTGAGAGAAAGGGCACCTACCCTGCAGAGACCTGCCTCCCTCCCTCCACCTCCCCCACAGCAGGGATGGGGTGTAAGGGAGGCCCTGTGAACAGGGTGAAGAACTGAATAGGAACAAAGGATGTAACCAGGGTGAGGAAACCTTAACTTTGTGAACGTGCCAGTAAATTGGCCCTCTACACAGTCTTTTCTCATTTAAGACAATTCCTTTCGGCCGGGCCCTGGGCTGGTGGTAGATTAGGAAGTCTTCCTTGATTCTTAGAAAGTCCAAGATACGAGCAGGAGAGCATAGCAGAATGTGGTTTTTTTCAAACTTATTTTTAACTCACGAAACTCCGATATACAAAACAGACCTGTGTGTGGCTATTTTAGGCAACATGTGTGGAAACAGGGGAAACCCAGACTGCTGGGCTCCCGCCCTGTGGCAGTTTATGGGGAACCCTCCGAACACAATTTGGAAACCGCTGCTGTAGTTTAAAAACTGTGGGCCTTGGAGTTAGACGCGTTGCATTCCCCAGACATATAAGTAATTGTATAACCTTGGTTGTTAGGTGATTTAGCTGCTCTGAGCCTCAGTCTCTTCATACACAAAACAAAGATG